TGTGTGTGTGTGTGTGTGTGTGTATAAATTATCAAGGGTTAATGAGGGAGAGGAGGAAAAAGCTGTTATCAAGGGCTAAAGTAGAAAGAAAATATTTTGAAGATGATGGTAACATATGTACAAATGTGCTCGACACAATGGATGGATGTATGGATTATGATAAGAGCTGTACGAACCCCCAATAAAATTTTTTTTTAATTCCAAGGTTGAAATACTTTAAAAAGTAAGCTGTCACTTCTCCAGGGAGCAGCTGGTAGATTCAAAAAAATCACCCTTTCAGTTAGCAGGTGAGTGCTTTAACCATTGAACCATTAAAAAAAACCAAAACCACTGCCATAGAGTCAATGCCAACTCATAGTGACCCTGTATTTCCCAGACTGTTAACTCTTTGAGAGTAGAATGCCTTCTTTCTCCTGTGGAGCAGCTGGTGGTTTCAAACTGCTGAATGATCACAGCCCAACATGTAACCACTATGCCACCAAAACTCCTAAACCCATGTTAATAATAATAAATTATAATGTTAATAACATATCTCCTTGGGGAGTGTGCTATAATGACTTCTTAGTATACAATTTTGAATTATCACTTATTTCCAATAATACATTTGTATCTTTAACTAATACCCAAATACTTAACCTATCAGTTTTATCTCTAATTAACTAGAATACTGCTGAAATTAAGTTTATACACTGGACATATACACTGAGCAGATACCAAATGAACTCATTTCCTAGTGTACTACTAACCTGAAGTTCAGAAAAATCAGATATTTGAGAGAAATCAACACAGAACTTTCACTTATTTCTTAACTTTGAATTTGTCTATAAAGCTTAGGACTAAGTCTGTATTATATAGTATCTTCTCTGCCATGTAGCTCATTGTCAAGGATGAAAAAAAAGGCCAAGCATTGTAAACATTTATTACACATATTTTAAAACAAGATATGCTTACAAACATATGGTATACAACTTGATTTTTTTTAATGAGCATATAAAACTTAGTACCATCTTAAAATTCCAAAATATAGAGTGCTACTACTACAAGATGTTCTGTCCATCTGTATAAATAAGAGATTGCCATCCATGTGCCAATGTAAACATAGAGCCACTATTTACATGTTCCTTGTCAGAATGCACCTTACCCATTCAACAATAAAATTGATTCTACAAAGTTCAGTTTCTCAACTACTTTATTAACATTGACCAATAATTACTACTACACACTTTTAAGTATACAGCAACTAAACATCTTAGATTGCCTTTAAAACTACACAAAATAACCTATTTTTAAAATCTAATAGGCCATACCTTTTTTATCCAGTGTCAATAAAATCCATGCAATCCACACCTACAATGTATAATACACAGTTTTTCACAGTGTTCCCAGTAAAACAAACATAGACTTACCTATCGTAACAGCTCGATGGAATTGGTGCATGTCTTCACCAGATAGCTCTTGGGCTACCTGCAGTATCTTTTGTCTGACACTATCCAATTTAATTTCTGATTCAGACAGCACTTCTTCTGTATCAGGAGCACTGCAATTAAGATAAAAAAGTTTTCACAATAGAAGATTTGACAGTTATATCTGTTAAATAATCTAAATATTCACGAACTAAGCAAGCATAATTTATTTGTATCCCAAAATTACAATTATATTTGAGTGTATACAAACAAGGAACCATTTATAACAAAATATTAAGTAAAAAAGCAAAATATAAGTATAACGTGGCGACAATTATGGAACATGTACACAAAATACAACATCTAGAGACTGCTGCCTTCAGTCAGGATGGAAGAGCCTGAAGTTATCTTTCTGCCTTTAATAATTACAAAGAAAAAGAACTATATAAATTTATTTTTTCCTCAGTAAAACCAGAAGTTGATTCTTTGAAAATAAGAATAAAAGTGACATAGAAATTGTCTTTGTCAACAATAAATTTACCAAGATACAAATAAAAAATGGGGAAAAAGTGAAATGAGGGACATTACAACTAGTCAACAGAAATAAACACAATCTACCCAAAATGACTCAATAGGAAATAAAGTCTCAACATTATGGAAGTACAGAGATTGCAACAGTAATCAAAAATGTCCCCCACCCAACCCCCCCAAAATCAAGGACCATCATGGCTTCACTGGAAAATTCCACCAAACATTTAAAGAATTGACACTAATACTTCTGAAATTCTTCTAAAAGGAATATTCCCTAATAAATTCTATGAAGCAAGCCTAACCCAATCCAATACCAAAGACCTCATCAAAAATGAAAGCTCTAAGTCATTATGTCCTATAAATAGATGTAAAAAATCTTTAACCAAATAATGGCAAACAGAACCCAACACCATATTTAAAGTCAAACCATGACTAAGTGGGAAGAACTCAAAATAATTATGAGGGTAAATCAAAAAGTACTGCTTCTAGGGTCCAGTTCATACATGAATGGATCTTTACCAAAATAAACATGTTTAAACATATCTCTGGGATCAGTGGATGGTTATGCAAATTCTTTCAGTAATACACTTAAGTCTCATTAGGGTGCTGTCAAATAAAAGGAATACTTTTTACACCA